ACGTTTGGTCTTAAGGAGCGCACCAGCTTTCACAAGCCGCAAATAAGTTAGTGAGACAGGGATAACCTATTCCAAAGCTATGCTACTTCTCCAAAAAGGACCCATATTTCACCGAGATACGTAAACAACTCCTTCAGAATAATCTTTTCTAAAATTTTAAAGGCCACGCTAGTTGTATTTACGGGTCGATAGTTCTTAGGTTTATCTTGCGTGCCTGTTTTGAAGACAAGACTTACTGTGGCATTCTTCCAGTCTTTGTAGTAATCGACCCTGGGTTACAGGTAGATCAAAACATATGTTTAGGGGACTTACTACAAAATTTGCCAGTTCCTTTAGTAAACTGGGATGTATCTAATCGGGTTCCATGGATTCTCCTAGCAGATCAGAGTCACGGATTACTTTGATGGTATCTAAGTCCAGTGTGTGCGTGGTGGGGCCTCGGTAAACTGAAGGGGGGAGCATGTTTACGATATGTAAATTACTAAAGTAATTTGAAAATGCCCGAGCTTTACCATGATCGTCCACCACTAATGATGGAGTACTACTATTTTCCCATAATTCTGGGATATTTCCTCTTCTCTTAGTACTTTGGTTTATGTACGAGTGTAAGCGTCTTGGGTATTCTACAGACTCCTTAACAAGTTCTTCGTAAAAACCTCTAGACTTGAAGAGGTTAAAAGTATAAATATTTTGAGCTTCCCGATATTGAGATATTGTTTCGTCAGTACCCAATGACCTAAAGCTCTTCAAAATTCTTCGCGTCTTACGGCGACGGGTGTAAACCTGTTTATTGAACCACGATAGGGAGTCTCTTGAACCCCTTGATGTAGTTCAAAGGATGTGTGGTATAGTGACTTTCAAGCACAAATTTCTGAATACATTCCTAGCCGTTTCAATTAGGGACTCTGGTTCTATCATCCAATTTACTGAGAATACTGAGTGTATAACGTCTTGTATATGTGCTTTCCTGACTTTGGGTCTGAGTTGAGCTGACACATACTCGATCACGACAACCATATAGAAATCAAAATTTAGGACTGCATGATTACTTTTACCTAAGGTTTGTGACCTCATCCTAATAATCTGTCAATGTGAGATCTAGTGAGAATGATTCAGAGTCTGGCTCGTACTTAGTTGCTTCTTTCACATTGTAAAGGAATGAAAGCACTGAAAATCCCTCCACAGCATTTAATTGAACAGCATTGTTAGTTAAATGTTTCTTCTCCCTGTTGTGTGTTTTAACCTTTATTCGGGCCCCTTTTAACCACACTTTATGTCATTCAGTCTTCCTTGCCTGAGCTTTTATTACGTGACTTTTGTTGAAGACGTGCATTTCACCGCTTAATTTTTCTGTTGCAGGTTGCCGGACTATTGACAATAAGATCGGGTTTGACTAGGGTAAAGGTCACGTTGTGGTTAAGTGTGTGACAGCCAAAATTTAAGCGACTACTTGGAAGTATTGCTGGAATCCCTGCAGATATATATCTGATCTCATCTTCTTAAAAAATTTTTTATTGATTCTTAGGTATTGAACTCATGTGTATAAACTATTCTCTTTGTTGTTCAGAAGTCTAATCTGTGTTAGAGAAACTGTTGACTGTACAGCACAGGCTGTACCGTTTTAGGCACTTTGTATTTTTGATAGATTTCGTTCTCATTGTTAAATTAGAACGATTTAAATTGAACACAGAGTTTGTGTTTTGATACAATTTAATACGAGTAACTCGAAAAATGCTATGCAAAAGAACGTAGTCTGGTCTGGTCGAATAAATGTTGGTTCGTTAGTTGTGCACTCAAACTGAATATTGGTATTTCGGTCGTTAAAACATGTTATGCCAGAGCACATGTGATCATTGCATCAACTTGTTCCTTTTCGAGGGGATTTTCTGACAATTCAGTTCTAAGATTTTCTCAGTGTGCCGTTGATGCAATATGATCTACCAAGATTAAACATCGATAGCTTCGTGACCAAGTATTGAGACTGTCTAGCAATACATCATTTACCTTACACTATGGACTGCGGTAGACCAATCCAATCAGCAGGTCTTGTCGTTTTCATTCCAGGCGGGATATGTTATCAATGATGCTATATGGGGTAGTATCCATAATGAATAGAGCTACTTCCCCGCCTTTACTCTTCTGAATCCCGTCGGCTCTTAATAATGTGAAACTTTAAAAACCAAGTACCGTACTGTCTACAGACTGCGTCAACCAGGTTTCTTTGACTGCGATTACATTCGGCCTGGTAAAGTTTATCTGTACACCGAGCTCCGATCGCTTGCTGGGCAAGCTCCGAGCACTTGTGTAACAGATTCAAAGACCATTTATATAGCTTTGTGCTGCAACCAGAGTGGCCTTGGCATCAATCTCTGTCGAAGCCTCATTACTCGAAAGTTTACAATTTTTAGGTCGTACTCGCCAGCACCTAACCCAAGTTTAGATTCGTTTTTGGCTCCTCGTCTTCGTATACAGTACGCGAGCGACAAGTCTTTACGGACAAAAATTATTGACTACTTTAGTCTGTGTCCATCCTGTAATATTAAAACCTTCTCATTTGGAGAGTTTATTACGGCGTTTAGTAGTCTGATTTGATCCTGTTTCACGTTCATTTGGCTACCTTGTCTGTAAACCTTTAGCAAGGTGACTCCAGAGATAACATGATGCATAAGCTGGTTTACAAGATACTTTATTAGCTCACTATCATGCCAAAAATGAGTCTTGAGTTTTGAGCTTACACTCTCCTTTACTCCGTGAAAGACATCTGACCTGTCGCTATGATGAATCTTCAATATCCCAACCGCTGTTCGGAGGACTAGCTTTTCTTTAGCAACACTAGATCACTTTTTATTCCTGATGTGTACGCATTCATCAACTTCCATCGGAGTAGTGATCACAGTCGTGTTGCAAACATTGAGGGACCCTGGATAACTGTTCTGCTAGTAACAGATCCAGCATAACAACTGTGTTTTCTAGACGTTTCCTGCAAGCTGCCATTTCTAGAGTGTAGGACAGAAGAAACTTCCTCTCTTGATATTCTATTTTTAACAGATCCCTTTACAAGCTATCTTGCCTCAGTCGGCTCATGTAAGTCAATCGACTCTGAGCTTCAATTTGCGTAGTGATCGAACGAAAACTGTTTGATGTATCTCTGTCGCACTTGCTGATACACCTTTTAGCAACATTATCATTAAAATAGCCTCGGATAGTAGGCTGCTTTCGTTCGAGAAGCACTGCCGAGACAACCACACAACTGTTCTTGCTAAACCGTGTAAATGTCAACCAATTTGTGATATAAATTGTCTTCACACGCTCATCACTCAGACTCATGTTTTCAATTTTATGCTGGATTAGCTATTCTACTAAGACAACTTATGACATGCTAACTCGGACTTCGGGCATCGGGTGGACAAAAAAAGAAAAGAAAGAAAAAAATCAGACAACAAAAGATATGGTCATTAGTATTTTTAACACTTCACCCTCTATATGCACACTCCCTTCTAATAAACCGCTTTCCTTGTACCACACATGACTTCCCTTCCTTCATGTGAGCTTACTCTGACTTGTTAAACATCACAACTCATTATTACTACATTCTCTAATATGGAACCTCTGACGTCGTTTCGCTCTAACAAGAGATAATATGAATTGAATGTAATTTATCATACCTCTGTCTGTTGTACTACACAATATTAAGCAACGTTTGGCGTTCATATCCAAGTGCCTTGCTGCTCTTCTGTTTCCCTTTTTTCTTTGGAATCTTGCTCTGAGGGCAGAGCTTTGGAACTTCTGACGTCTGGAACAAACTTGACGTACGCGTCTCTTCAAGGTCATGGTTTACAGCAAGCGCTCCACGAGTCTACTTTATGACAACTATAAACTTAATAGGTTGGGAAGCATGTTGTGAACCAACAAATGTTGTAATTTATAGATCATTCCTTTAGAAATGGCGTGTACCTGCACATGCAGAAATATATTGTTATTATTATTATAAAGGTATCACCAGCAACAGAGTTATGAAACGGTCGGTAGGAGGTAGGTTGATCAATTCATTTCCGGTAGAAGCATTTGGAGGCATAGAAAAGGAATGCGTTCGACATGTGCATAAAATATCAAAAGGTGAATTATAAGTTTTTAAATCATCTGGCTACCTTTGTTTTTGAAAATCTAAACAAAGCCACTCCCATTAGGGATTGTGACACATTGTGCAATATGAAGATGCTACAGGGATTCGGAGTTCGACAATGCCCCTAAGCGTAACACATTTATAGTTTAAGAATAACAGTCAAGTCAAATCAAAAGTTGGGAATGAAGGGGTTCGAAGATATATTTGAAAAGCTGTCGATATATTGAGAAGTGTTTGATCTGATCTGGCTAACAGTTGCAAGGAATGCGCAGCACGGATGCGTGACCGAGCGCCCTCAGCTAGGTGTGCTCAGTAAAACTAATGAGGTCGGCACCAATGTCAAAGAATTGCGTGACTTTATTTCGGGGGTTTGTTTACCGTTAAGAGCCTTCTCTAGAAGAATGTGCAAACCGTCCTCAAACACTAACTTTCACTGCAATATTCGAAAAGTCTGGTAGTCAACCTCTGAATAAGTTAATGATGCATTACCAATTTCATGGGCATCTGTGACCACTTATCCAATTTCCACATAGGCAGCTGGGTGAAAAGCCGTTATTTTTAAGTCAAGTGGTGGTGTGAGTATCTTGGTTGTTAAGCACATTTTGTACGTTCCGATTTTTCACTGTACTTTTTACACCACCGACATTGAAAACATGAAATATCTGCAAAACTATGGAAACCGCTTACAGACTCAACAAACATCTGATGATTTCTTCGCATACATGTTTGGGAGAAACCACTGTGTACAGGAAGGATTTCTGAGCACCTGCGAATATATTTAATCGGACTTTTAACCCCACAGAGTCTAACGAAAAGCATCGGAAATAGAGGGTTCAGGGTTAAAATCTTTCTGCTTGTCGTGCTTTGAAATTATCTGTCTTGTGTTTTAACTAATGACTAGACACCCAGTGACATAGCAACACACTCAATTCTATAACTGAAATGGTCAAGAAGAGCAATAAGAAAACACCAAAGAAGAAGAATACAAAGAGCAGGTTTTTTAAAAGCTTTACCAATTACATTTATCAAGCAATGATGATAAGATTAAGAAGTTAGAAGATGTGAGAAGGATAGCTGCTGTTAATGCCAAGTTATGGGAGACTAGAGTGGAAATTGCGGAAAAAGTCAAAGACAAGATCCAGTAGGCTGTTTATTTCAAATAACAAATTAGGGAACGTGCAAAACAGTTGGCGGATGATAATGCCAGACTTAATGATGCTCTACGTCAATCAGAAAAGGAATCAATGGATGTGTTTTCTTACTTAAAAAAGCAAAATGAAGATAAAGACAATGAGGTATCGTATTGTTTATTGAAGTTTTAGTGTGCAGCTAAAAGAACTTAAAAGCAAAATCGAATCCATGTCCATTTCTCACGAAAGAGATAAAGAGTTAATTGTAAATTGATTACATATTCTGAATACTTCCTCCTAACACATTCAGATCAGGGATGCAAAACAACAGATTTTGTGCATAAATAGTGAAAAGGAAAAAAAGTGCGATAAAATTAAGGAACTCGAACAGGAAATAATGCAGTTGGATGAATATAAAAGTGAGAAAACACGAACTGAAAACGAAATAAAACAGGTATAATTATGATAATTATAATAACAAGGTGAATGGATACATTGATCTAATTTAGTTGCGCGATGAAGTTCAAAATCAAAAGTGTCTCATTGAGAATATGGAGACAAAGTTTTTCGAAGAGAAGGTAAGTGGGATTAAGACTGTCCCATACTTTTAGCTAAAAATGAGGGAAAGTAGCATAAAAGATATCAAAGCTCTGGCAGAAGAAGCACACAAGATTTCTATTAAGTTGCTTTCATAATAACAATAACCAAATAATTAATAAGAAATTTAGACGATTCCGTCAAGTTGTCATTTGTTCAGAACGTCGCAATGAGGAGATTTATAACGTTTTTAAGAAAACAGCTGGTGTCAGCTGAGGACTTATCAAGATCTTTGAATGAAGAAAACAAAAAGCTTACTATAGAAAAGGAAACCTTGGAAGGCATTTTGTTGTCAAAGTCCTTGGAGTGCAAAAACCTGAAGGAACTTATTCAAGAGGTGGGTATTTCTATTCAGAGTTAATAAGTGTTTGAAATATATACTTTTATAGATCTGTGCCGTTAATAAGTTCATCCCTCGTACATAGACCATTTGTCTAATAAGTCATAGTTCCAAAACACTTGTAACAATGCTCTAAAATAATTATAGGTATAACTCCTTTTCCGTTTGGTTTGAGTGTACAAAATTATGCGAGATATATTTATTTTGGAGATTACAAGTTGCTGTTCTGCTTCCCTCTTAGGAATTTTAGTTTGAGTTGAAAGGTGAAATGAAAGCTGATATTATTCTGATATTGCTATTTTCGGTAAAGGACAATTCACAAAGTTGTTTTGATTTAGATAAACACCATCTAATTTTACATATCTCTAAAACTTAAAATACTTAAACCGAATTGATTTCGGATGGATAACTATATTTTAGTTGATTATTCGAGTGCGGATGTTTGTATGTTTTCCCAAAGTAAGGATTAAAAGTGATATTCAGGTCAGTTGTATGTAAAATTTATTTTACCATTCTGACAGTTATGTCTGGTAAATAAAAACTGGTGTATTGTTAACCTTACGTATTATCAAATAGATTATCATACTTGTTCGTAATTACGTGAAAGGAACGATAAATGTTTTCATGAACTAATTGATTTCTAACCGTTATTAGACCTAATAATGTTTTAAAAAGTCATACTTGTCTATTTAATTGGCCCTGGGTACTGTATTATGTAAAGGATCCATGATCAACTTTCCAGTATGCCATTCTAACTAGCCAATATCTGCTAGAAAATGTAAATGTAAATTTGGATAAATCTAAAACTGCGAGTTTACCACAGCTCACAACCTAATATAACGCTTAATCTGTTACTGGTAGTCACTCTTTATCTTTACAATAAATATAAATGAGGCTACGAAAAAGGGTTAGAGTGATTATCGGCATGCAGTAAGTATTTAATTTACAACAATGTGTATTATTTTGGGACAATGCTTTCCATCTTCTTGAGGATACAAAGCATGAAGCGAATGCAACTTCATTTTTGAGAGATTTAATATGTAACCATCATTATTTATTTTAACTAAGTGAGCACTATTAAAGGTTGGGACGTATTAATTGTCAGGGGGGGGTCAGAGGTAAGACCATGTCAAACATTCGGTAAAACATTTTATTCAATATAACACCTTCATGCACATCAGTGGTCACACAAATTTAGTGTTATACTTCGTCCGTGTCAATTAAGTATATTATCTGTTCGTATCATTTTAGTATGAATTTACTTGAAGAACAGTCAATGCATATAAAAATATATGTAAAGTAATGAATTTGTTAGTGATAGGTAAAAATTGTGCTTTGATTCTGGATGTTGAAATAAATCATCTACCAACAAAGTTTGCACTCCTCTTTGTATCGATTCATATCAGGTTTTGTTTTCACTCATAGCAATCATGTCAGTATATACTGAAGCATTTGTTATTAAGTAATAGGGCTTATCCTAGAGCTAAACTTCATTTTGATTGACTTTCATCATCATGTTGTATATATAATATTGGGAGACTCGTGATCTCCAGTGATGTTTAAACCGGTACCAAACCAATGTTACCGTCACAGATTTTTTTCATCAAACTATTTTTTTAGTAAATGATGACCTATAGATCCGAAATGTACAAAATAATGTATAATTTAGTATTAACTCACATCATGTTGTCTGGTGACTAGTACTGATCAGACTCGATCGATCAACTTGTAATGTGATCACACACTGACTAACTAATAATTATATGGAGTGACGTTCTATCACCTACATTCAACCACAGATCGGAAGAAATGAAAAGGTGGACAGTTGAGGGCAGAAAACTTTGATTATACTGTGATTCATCAGGCCATGATTTAGAAAATATTGACAAATATTTCATTTTCAAATAATATTTTAATCTGTAAATTGATCAGACAATTTATTTGAAGCGTTTAATTAAATGAAGGACTTGGCTTTTTTTCGTGTAATTACTGTTAGTTAGTTGAGGAGGACAAATCAATTATGCAACGTTATATGTTCTTCCTTTAGTGTTTCTTTTACGTTACACCATAAGTTCATCTGGCATTTTAACTTTAGACCATATCTGTTGAGTGATTTCCAAGTCAGTCTTGAGTGCTGCTAGAAGTATGAGGGCGGTTATCACTTCCTGGTTGCCCACACTGTAGAAGGGCTCTTCTGGAGGTACCTGAAGAGGAAATTGGGTTAAGAGTAATCCTAGTGACCTGAGAGCGTGACCGCAATGCCCATGAGACAACTGCTTGAGGTCGGTCACACACGACCTTTTTGTGAGTAGTTTTATTGTTGGCTCCGTAATTTTTGGAACCTTACCGCCGGAGATGGAAATTCGTGGGATAAGACGAGGTGTGCACTTTTAGGTTTGACCCTTTCCAACCCCACCCTTCCTTGTGTGAAGGCAACATCGCTGTTATGCTGATTGTCTAAAGGAAACACTTTACTGCCGTTACACCTCTGTATAGTCTGCAGTACGACTTTGCCCTCGGACCTTGGGTTTGCTGTCTTTAGTCTTAGCACTCTTCAACCAACCTGTCTGGCATTGTAGGACCCTGAAGGACGATTGTTCCAACCAGTATAGCTCAATCGGTTCATTACGATAGGCAAGCCCGACCACCACGTCAAGGTAGCAACGACGATCGGGATTTCCATGTGAATTTGAGATTTCTTCTGGCTAATGTTTCACCTTAAAACTAAATATTCACTGATAATATGATAACATAGTTTTTGTTTACTTTTTTCACCTCATACTCTTCTCTTATCTTTTTTCGTAAAAACGATACAAAACAATTATGATAGAAAGATGAAAAAATTGAACTTTATCAATATGAAATTAAACAGTTAACTGAAGATTTAAATAAACAAAAAACTATATTCAGTGAACAAGTGACACTTCAAACATTTGAAGCATCTAAATCAATAGAGAGATTAACTAAAACATTAGAATTAGAACGTAAACGAATGATACGTATATCTAGTTTAGCAAATAGAATTTTACAACAAAGAAATGAAATTGAAGAATTCTTTATTACATCATTAAATTATGTTCGTGATGAGATCAAAGTGAATCAGTAAGTTTCACTTTTTCTTTAAATAAGACTTAATTTAAGTTTAATGATTTGTGTTTTTGGAATTACTTTCTGATTTAGTTCTTTCATTACTATCTTGAAAATATAATGTACTGTATAAATATGAGGTGGGACTATAATTAATGAACGAACCATTATGATTTAAGATTTTTTATTTTTTTTATTTTAACACAGATATTGGTACAAGGAGGCACCAAATACATATGTGCCACACAAATCTCATTCGATATGTGTGAGGGCTGTGATACTGCCCGGGTGCCCAAACCGAAGCAGGTGGTTTTCATAGGGGGCCACTCCCCGAGCCTTCGACCTGAAAGTCTGATCCACACGGCAGTGGAGCATCGTAAGGAGATGCATTCCCATGGAAGCCGGTGACCAACAATTGGTTCATACGCCATTTGTTCCCTCAGGATACTGGAGCCCATGTTCACCAGTGGTGTGGAATCAGGGTTTTCCAACTCCCCTAGGTGGATTCACCGTGTCCACCGGCCCGGTTAAAGCGCCGGACATTCGCCTTTCCTCCCTTCCTTTTCGTAAACAACACCCGTGATGTGAGAAGGCAGTGAGTAGGACTTCCCAGGCAGAGGCTATACACGCGTGGCCATGTGAGAGCATTTGGAGAGGGAGAGCGAACTGTTTCCACTATTGGTCGTACTAGGGCATTTGGGGGCAGGAATGTCAAATATCACGAAACATAGCTCTAGGGTTTCCTACTGACTACAACCCGCCACCTTCCTACATCGTAAGATTTTGGACACAATGTTGAGTCACTTAGACTAGTGACCGCATTGTAATTTGGTCTATATAATTAGGTCTTTTCAAAGCAAAACCTGACAAACATGACACGACAATCTTAGGGCAAAAAAAGTTAATGACATTTCACGGTCTTACTTGTTATAGATGATTTGTTCATATTTTTGAGTGAGCTTATTGAATATTCAATGAACGAAGTTTTGGTTTCATTAATACATAATCATTATCATCACCATCATCGTTATCACATGTTACAGTCTTAGATGATTCTAAAACTACTTAGGTAAAACGGGATAGTTTAAAAAAAATCAGGTGGAGTGTAGAGTAAATTGTTTGAAGATGATTCCAGAATTCTAAATAAGTATTTTAGAATTTACCTACTATGATATGTTAATGAAAATGCCCTCGAATGAGCCTGTAGAGGTTTGATCATATGTCATTCAAATTTTCTGGCAGACAAGATAATATTCAGTCATCGAGTTGTTATCCACTGATTGACAATGTCCAAATTTGTGATGTATTATATATGCGTCAATCAGTATTATTGCCTGTCATTTATATCACTATTCATATACTTCTCAGGATCCAAGCTATGACCAGTTTGTGATTTAGACCAGTGATAATTCTACAGTCTCGGCGAATCCCCTTATGCTCACTAATGACTAGCCTCAAGATATAACTCCTGGAGTTCAACCATGTCACATGTGAAGCAGACATCTACCGAAGGGAATAAATGACTGCAACGCAATATCGTGAACTATTGAAGTTAGAGGTCATTACCTCTAAATGTCAGTTCATTGACCTAGAGGTTTAGTTCTTGTTCGTGAGATGTATGTTCTTGGGTTTGATTCCCAGTTACGGAGTCGTGTATGCACACTCTTAAAGAGTTCCAAACTAGGACGAAACAGTCATCCAGTGATCTAAGATCGTTTCGTAATTTAAACTATGAAAATGTTTATTTATTTTTAAATGACAAACGATTTTAACTATCATTTTCAATCTTTCAATTTTGTTTAGGAGATAATTTATTTATTATGGATGGAAAAGTTTGTTTAACCACTAATATGTGTGTATATGTGTAACTTGTTGTTTTTTTCTCTTATAATCAATGTTGTTTATTTTCTTCGTGACCACTTGTATGTTCATCAGTGATACCTTTTTAATTGTATACACTACTAATATCATTCTATGTCATATCCCTATATGAAGCACTTGCAATACTACACTATTTAACCATTTGTTATAAACTGCTTTTATAGTTTTGTTTTAATCGTTATGCATGTTGAGAAGAAATCAATGCAAATCTTCTTTAAGAAATTTATGTCACTCATTTTCAATTCTTTTAATCAATTGATTACAACATTGCATTTCGACTTGGTGGAACCGGTATGTATGTGATAATTTTATGAAAACTGTTCAGTTTTGCATCATAGGCTGACTTTATCTAATGAATCATTAAAAAGTAGGATAGACTGAACATCTATTTCGTCCTGATGCAGAGCTCCTTAGAAATGTGAACCCAATACGATACCGGGTTACTATGTCCAGGAAATTCAAACCTCCAGATGAGTGAGTTAACTTTAACCTATTGGATCAACATCCAATAACTCATACTTCCAACATCAACCAATCTGTGTTATAGTATAATGTCGTCTGTATTCACCGGTTATAGCTGTTCCATGAACGACATCGTTTGGATTCACGGCTATTAGCTTCTCACAAGAGCTTCAAGAATGCTTATCAAAGTTAGTCTCTTATGATACTTCATTGTGTGAAGTTACATTCTTAACGTAACGATAGATGTGCAATACTGATGAATCTTATGCTAAGACGAAATACTTGTTTATTACTTTCTGATTTTCAATAGTTGTCATTGTAATTAAAATATAAAATTGTTAAAAACGATATAAGTAATTTACTCGACATTCATTTATGTGTTTTCATTACTTCTTGTCTAGAAATAATTATATTCACGATGCCAAGTCCGCATATGAAGCCAGTATACGACTAGCACATTTAGGTAAATCAAATTATCCACCAATTAGAACATTTCAAAATAAGATAACTAGTACAAATAATGTATATGATGATTTTAAAATTGCTCAAAAAATGTAAGTAAATGCATATTGTTAAATAATTTGTGGTATCTTTCTTTGACATATATAGACAATTGAGTTGATCTAAGTAAATGGTTCATTGATGAATACACTTTGACATTTAAGTTCGATGATGTCTAGCAATCAAATCTAGGAAATACATCAATTCCATTTGGTATTCCTCAGCTAGATACATTTGAATTCTAATGTTGATATTCATAATTAAATCTATATACATCATCTATCAATTCAATCGTCAACAGATTATCCGTCAAGTTATTGAAGTCAAACAACTACTAACTAACAGTAAAACTACACCATACTGATCTTCACTGAAACAATCACAGTTCAAGTACCACCTCGTATATCTATGCAGGAAATTTAAAATGAAATGTTAAATAGCTTATAAGCTCTTAGTATATTAACTAAATGGAAATTGACAATGTTTGGTTTCGAAAATGCTTGAAATTGATAAAGAATGTCTACTATGCAACCAAACAGTGAATTAACATTCACATGATGCTGAAGTTAAATCAAAAGAAATAAATATCTGTTCCTAATGCAGATCATATGTCGAAGTACTGAATGTAATTTAATGTGTAGTCAACGATGCTTTTGTAGTTGCAACAACATCTTCTCAATGTAACTCCTCACTCTAAATCTCAATCCTGAGTTTTTTAGTTTGTAAAGCAAAGGATGGATGTAAAAGCATCATTACATAATAATTGTTGAATGTTGGTGATTAAAGCTGTATAGGGTTATAAACCAAACTCACAACACTAGCCCAACTCCTAATATATAAATTTAACCTTCTTCCTTTATCATAATAAGTAATTTAATATTTAAGAGACTGTTAAATAACTGATAAGTCGCTGAAGGTCTTCAGTCTGATACACGTTTACCTAAGCAACTCTTATATTATGGCATTCACTTATTAAACTTCACTCTGATTAATTACCGATTAGTATCCAATATCATATTTGTTTGATCATTACCATTCTATTAATCCAATTGATACTAGTATAAATAACATTTGATGAATTATATTAAGTTATTAGGTAGTTAAAAGAAAACATGAAGAAGCTGTATTTGCTCTTAATTTCTTGATAGCTAATGCTTATTTCTCCAACATATCAGTATTTTTCTTGAAACTGATGTTCTCTGTTGGATTTAATTACTGTAATCAAAGAAGTGACCACACTTTACTGACAAATACCAGGAAAAATTCTAGATCACTAATTTCTAGTCAAAAAGTTTTAATCATTTAACAGATCAACTAAATTGATTGCTTCACTTTATTCATTATTAATATTGATTAAGTGCTCGCGCGTGAGACTGATATGTCCTGGGTTCAAATCCCACGAGGCGGGGTTGTGTATGCGCACTACTGAGGAGGCCGACAATAGAACGAAACGGTTACCTAGTGCTTCCATGTTTTCCATGGTTGTCTAACTTCAGTTGACTCATGATCTCAACTATTGAAATTACTTCAATCTCCACAAAACCCCTTCTGATACTAATCAACATATGCTCACTAGTGACTGGTTTCAAGAGGTATATCCTGGAGTTCTAGTGAGAAGCAGTGACTAGTGGAGTTCAACCAGGTCTGTTGTGAATTAGTAACTCACTGAAGGCAATGATGGATGTGTTGCTCAATTTCATGGATCAGTTGAAGTTAGACATTAACACCGTTGGATGCCGGCCGACCCAGTAGTCTAGTGGTTAAGTGCTCGCGCGCGAGACTGATAGATCCTGGGTTCATATCCTGCTAGGCGGGGTCATGGATGTGCACTGCTGAAGAGTCCCACAATAGGACAAAACGTCCATCCAGTGCTTCCATGTTTTCCATGGTTGTCTAGCTTCAATTGACTCATGATCTCAACTATTGATATTATTCACCTGATATTATTTTACTTGAATCTTTGCATTGATGTTTTAGGACTGAAATTGGTCAGTCTCTTATTGGCATATGTGCATACTGCGCGTATGCCTCGATATTGCCTTAATTTACAAGCATTATAGGCAAAGATGGATAATGGCTAGCAGTGGAAACCAGGACGCGCGTTTCGTCCTGTTTGGGACTCGTCAGTTGGATGTACCTGCATCTCAGAGTTGATGTTCACTCCGTGACTCGAATTCAGTACGCCATCGCGTTATCCACTTAGCTACTGAGTTCTGATAGCCACTTGCTTGTGCAATGGGTTGAAGTTTAATTCACTTGATATTATTTTACTTGAATCTTCCCATTGATGTTTTAGAACTGAAATTGATCATGACGAAACGCGCGTCCTGGATTCCACTGCTATCCACTATCCATCTTTGCTTATTGATATTATTATTATTGTTATTATTATTACAAATATTATGATTATTATTGCATAATCATTTTAGTCCGAAATCAACACATTTAACAATTCGTGATTTAACATGGGAACAAAAAGAACGTGTCCTTTCTATTTTATTTGAAAAAATGAATCATTCCAAAATGAAATTTAATCATAAAACTAATCATAATAAATCACCAATGAATCAGTTAAATGATCAATTTAATAAAGAATTAATCATACAAATGAATAATTGTAACAATGGAACTAATCAACAGCTTGCAGTGAATGAACTTGATTCCAAGTCAATTGTATTGACAATCGATAATGATGATGATGATGCTGATGTTGCTGATGATGAACATGATCAAGGTAAAACAAAAGACCAAGTTAATGATAAAGTAAAAAAGAATCATCAAAATCAATCTAAAGAATTAACAAAGAAACTTTATGAAAAAGTAATTCAATACAAAGATCATGTAATCGATGAAACGAATTCAATTAATCAGTCGGATGTTAAATGTACATTAGGCAATGATTATGAAACTATTCATCAAAGAAATATTGATTCTACAATGAATTGTCAAATAAATCAAACTAAAGTACCATATCCATCACCTCAATAGAATAGAAGAGAATATGTATTGGTTAATGGTAATGTGAGAAAGTCATCTGTAGTGATTCAAAGAAAAGACAATTCAATATTATGTACTATTTCGACAGATTACATTTATACAAGTTGATATTCGTTTTTTTTCTTTTTTAAAGGAGTTTTGTTCTTTGAGCTGGATGATTTGGTTGTGGAGCTTTCATCATTCTGCTGAACGACATCATCAGCATAAATTTCAGGTAGAAGTAAAGTTTGTAAATAGTGTGATAAAAGAAGGTTAAATTTATATATGAGGAGTTGGGCTAGTGTTGTGAGTTTGGTTTATAACCCTATACAGCTTTAATCACCAACATTCAACAATTATTATGTAATGATGCTTTTACATCCATCCTTTGCTTTACAAACTTAAAAACTCAGGATTGAGATTTAGAGTGAGGAGTTACATTGAGAAGATGTTGTTGCAACTACAAAAGCATCCTTGACTACACATTAAATTACATTCAGTACTTCAATATATGATCAGCATTAGGAACAGATATTTATTTCTTTTGATTTAACTTCAGCATCATGTGAATGTTAATTCACTGTTTAGTTGCATCGTAGACATTCTTTATCAATTTCAAGCATTTTCGAAACCAAACATTGTCAATTTCCATTTAGTTAGTATACTAACAGCTTATAAGCTATTTAACATTTCATTTTAAATTTCCTGCATAGATATACGAGGTGGTACTTGAACTGTGATTGTTTCAGTCAAGATCAGTATGGTGTAGTTTTACCGTTAGTTAGTAGTTGTTTGACTTCAATGACTTGACGGATGATCTGTTGTTGATTGAATTGATAGATGATGTATATAGATTTAACTATGAATATCAACACTGGAATTTAAATGTATCCAGCTGAGGAATAGCAAATAAGATTGATGTATTTCCTAGATTTGATTGCTAGACACCACCGAACTTAAATGTCAAAGTGTATTCATCATTAAATTTGCCTTTTATCAATGAACTTTACTTCTACCTGAAGTTTGTGCTGATGATATTGTTCAGAAGAACGATGAAAGCTCTACGACCTAATCATTCAGCTTAGAGATCAAAACTCTACATCAAAATCATTCAGCTGACGTTCAAGTCTTCTCAACCATGACAAATTGATATTTATTTCATTTGTCTATACTAAATTATACCAGAGGAGATAATAGGAAAATGTTTTGGTTTTGGTTTTTTTATTATTTTTAAAAATTGTTAGTGTTGATTACTTTATGCTTTAGCACAATTTACTACTATGAACTACTACTGAACTAAACGTGAAAAGGTTGACAAATACAATTGATAACATAATAGATAAATAAATTAGAATAATCGTTTGTGAAGATTGTAATGTTTTAATATTTGAATTTATGAGTCGAGTTACGCTGGCGGGATCGTGAACTTATACAGTGGAGGAGTCCCATACTAAGGCGAAAAGTTCGTCCAGTGCTTTTCAATGGTTGTTTAGCTTACATTGACTGATGAATTCAATTATTAAGATAAATAAATATTTTGACATAAGCCTATTATTTATAGGTTGTATTTTCTACAAACTGAACTCATCTAGAATATCATTAAAATTTCAGGTATAATAGATTATTTTAGTACAGAACTAATTAATAGTGCATACTTATCACTGTCAGGAATCAAACATATGATCTGGAGGACTTGCGTCGAATGCTTAATCATCAGATACATTGAGTAATGGTTTAATAAGTTGGTTCCAGACTCAACTAGTTTGTGATATAGCTTAGGGATAATGCGATGTTATTAGTGACAATCGTTTCACTCCTGACTCTGATGAACTACGTCGGTTACAACTTACCACTGAAATTTCAGGAATATCTTAGAGTAATTCGCTAATAATCTAACTGCTATAGTTTAGCTGTGGGCGGTTTTTGAAGAAAATGGTTCTGTTCTTAGATTTCATTTGTTACAAATTGATACCTGGCTTATTCGTGGATGAAGAGTATTGATAAGTTCAATACTAGGACGTGAACATCTATTCAGTTCTCTCTGGTTTACAATAGTATTCCAAATAGAATCAATCTATAGCTATTACAATCTACTTTTTAAACCTATCTCAGCAAAATCTCTTTAACTAAACTATAAGTCACTGTATCGGTAATTTATTTTTTGAACCTGATAAATAATTGCAAGCATTACTGGTGTGTTGGTCAGTGTCCAAAATCTGATACGGACACACGCTGTGCTACTCGTAAACCTCCCAACTGACTACTCGAGCAGGAACACAAGAGTGAACGAATAAGACGTACAGATACTCATTCATATATTTATACCACTCTAGTTATTGGAAATGGACTAATCTCCTAGCAAATGAAATGCACTTGTCCTTTAGGTCACTTCTGATTAACTCTCCATATCAACTATATCCCCTATCCTTATTAAACTTAATCATACTAACTGGTTTAAATGATATATATATGATCAATTTATACTTCGATTTCACTTTTTAAATAATGTACAAGTAGAATTCATTTGGTATTGTTTGCTTGAATCTTCTTATTGATATTGAGGACTGCAATTGAACAGCCCCAAATAAAACAAAACGCACATCCTGGATTCCACTACTAGCCACTATCCGTCTTTGCTTATAATGTATAAGTTGTTTGATTATCTCTTTTTTCCTTCTTGAAGTTATTGTGAGACATTTAATTATTTTTCTGCTATTGTTTATATCTCATCTAAATGATTTATTGAGTAAGTGTGATAATTTGAATCGATGGAATAAATTTTTTTTCTCAAGTGTTTACTTTATTTCGAATATTCCACTTGTTGTTAGTTGCAGTGGTAATACTTTTCTCCATCACATAACCGATACAAACTTTTGAGAAGTATAGAGAACGAAATACCAAGATTGTGGTTGATAGTATCGAATAAATTAAGCATTGGGTAGAAAGTTGTTAATAATTGTAAGGATGGTCCACGGCTTTTCTCATTTGTCTTCCATCTTCTCATTTGCGACTTGGGAGGGTTCTAGCGTTCGAGCGCTCTAGTTATACACGGCATATCAAGAATATAAGCTCTAGATAAAAAAAGAATATTATTTCACTGATCCAAATCATGAGTCAATTGAAGCTAGACCACCATGGAAAACCTGGAAGCACTGGACGGCCGTTTCGTCCTAGTATGTGACTCCTCAGCAGTGCGCATCCACGATCCCGCACCCCGCTTCAATTGGCTCATGATTTCAATCAGTGAAATTTCTAAAAAAAGTCTCCACAAAACCCCTTCTGATAATAATCATCTGCTCACTAGTGACTCACTTCAAGAGATGCTCCTGGATTTCCACTGAGAAACTGTTACCAGTGGAGTTCAACCAGGTTTGTTGTGAGATATCAACTCACTAAAGAAAATGGTGTACGGTGGCGCAACTTCGTGAATTGGTTGAAGTTAGACATTAACACCGTTGGATGCCTGCTCAGTAGTCTAGTTGGTTAAGCGCCTGGCGCGAGACCGACAGGTCCTGGGTTCGAGTCTCGCGGGGGGCGGGATCGTGGATGCGCACTACTGAGGAGTCCCATACTAAGACGAAAGGGCCGTCCAGTGCTTTCGGGTTTTCTATGGTGGTCGAGCTTCAATCGACTCATGATTTCAATCATTGAAATTTCTAAAATCTCCACAAAACCGCTTCTGATAATAATATTATTATTGATAATGATGAAATAATAATTATTTCTTTTATGAGATCTCAATAAGTAGATATACGTAAATCTGACGTTTCGTGACTGAATGTTAGTCACTTCTTAAGAGTAAATCAATAAATAACCAAAATAAATTATCACAAGTTTAGATTATACAAAAGAAACAAATTAGGATATTTTTAATACAACCAAAATCATAATAAGTCTGAGCACGTTAATGTAATGAGAATTTTTAGTCAAGATGATTTTCTTTTTTAAGAGACATTACTTTGTTTATTTGTGTCTATAACGGTGGATATAAAAAAATAAAGTTTAATTTGTAATATGAAGGAGTAGAGGTAAGAATTGCATGTGTGTGTTTGTGTTTAGGTTATACAGAAAATAAATAGACTGAAGGTCCTAAGTTCGATTCCTCTGTGTGGGATCGTGGATATGCATTGCTAAGAAGTTCCATGCTAAAACGAAACGGATATCTAGTGCTTCTAGGTTTTCAACAGTGATCTAACTTAGATCAGTTCATGATCACAATAAAAATGAATGGAGTTAAATAAGGCTATTTGGAAAAACGATCTAGGTTTGATGAATAGTTAGATATTTGAGGAGTATACCTATTTATATTTACCTACACTGGAATAACAAGAAATTTAATTATTTATCACCAATAATTTGGCTGTTAATGTTCATATCAGATTTCTGACCTTTTAGTCGGTTATAATTTTTCGTATTACTTAACTGACTAGTTTTATTTTATTGTATGCTTATAGATTGATGAGTTATTTGAATCCTAAGCCACTAAATACCCGAGAATTCAGTCGAAGAGAATGTTATTTCCACCAGTAGGTCTATGATGAAGTTAAACAAAAATAGTGAAAGTGGACAGCCTTGACGGACATCACTTGAGGTTGCAAAAGCAGATGACAGTTCGCCATAAGCTCTGACTCGACTGGTAGTGTTCGAGTAAAGAGCCTTTACGAGGTTTATGTACTCCTGAGGTACACCTTTCAATGACAGACACTGCTGTGCCAATGCGGTGTGGCAACCTGGACCGATGCATATATGTGCCTGGTCCTACGTTGTAGCTGACTGACTGACTGAAGCCACTAAATAACTTCTGTTTGTAGTTGTTGTTTCTATCCAAGATTTCGAAATTTCTCTTGGATTTCTTCCCATCAAGATTAATGACATGAATTAAGATAGGTGAAATGTTAACGTTCAACAAATAATTTGTTCGGATGAAGACAGAAAGGGTGATCAAGTTTTATACGATTTAATATTTTTTTCAGTAGATTATAAGTAGTATGTGAGCTGGTTGATTTTATGATTCCATGTTCAAGTTTCCATGATAGTGAACCTTACCGTCTTATTAATTACATTTATCCCTGAAGACTAAATACGTTGTTTCATAGTTTACACGAACA